GTATAGGGACAATTAACGACAGTTGCCCTCTTGTGTGTTGCTAGCTTGTTGACCGACATGCGGGCTCTGAGCTGCTAAACCTACATCACGCGTGGTGGACTCGGGCATTATTATTGCTAGGCCATTTTGCGACCTTGTTGCTCATCTCGTTTGTGCAACCATCGGTTGACGAAGTTACGAGGGTAGCCATTTTCTCCAAACATCCGCCGAATCATATTTCGGAAACTTCGTCTTCTGATTCACTGCAGTGCATCTCAACATACCGAGAGTGTCCTTACGCAGCAGCGTTTTTGGCTGATTGGGTAGTTGCTGTTGTAGTTCAGTTCTTGCATCATGTTTTTCGCTTTCCTGAATAATTTAGTCTTTAGGCCACCACAGTCTTTGCGGCGGACGAGAACATCAAACAAAACCAGGCGGTTGTTATCTTCCTCCTCCGATCCCGTACGTAAAAAACGTCTCGGAGGCCGTCGGCCAGCTCACCCCACTTGGATTTGGACATAGGTCGGAGGCAACCATAAGGCGCCAGATAATGAAACCGAAGCACCCACCGCCACGGCAAGAAACATCTGGGTCGTCTGTAGGTTCTGGTGCAGTTTCGGATGCCACTTCTCATGTTGCGGCCCATTCGACGAGACCCGGCCACACATTCAAATTTGATGAGTCCGAAATTCACCCAAGAGGCGACAGTCGTGTGAGCCGAGAATTACTTGAGTCATGGTTCATGGACCCCCAATCCATAAGCAAGTGCAACGATTTGCCCAATCCATATTCGGTGCTGAGGCTCATTTTGGCCAAAGCAAGTCGCCACTTGGGGAACGCACAGGCCACTGCGTCGTCTTACGCCAACACTGGAGAGCAAAATGTCCGAGCAATCATCATGCCACAGTCCACCACGCGTGATGAAAGTGCAGCAGCTCAGAGCCCGCATGCCGGTCAGCAAACTATCAACGCACAAGAGGGCAATTATTGTCAGTTGTCGTGTGACTCGCATGTTCGCTTGTATGGACAACTTATGGGAAACTTACGTATGCTCGCCAACTGCTCTTCTGAATTCTCTGATGGGAATTTTTGCAATTTTATTGGACAGGATGCAAATTCAATAGCCAGGAAGCTGCCCAACGAGCGACATGAGTGTGTTCACTTTAACCAACCTTGTTAGGAAGTCCCATTACCAGTGTCAAACAAACAGGCCAACACAAACTATCTCCAGCAGAGATAGTAGGTATTTAAATCTACAATAAATTTTGTTAGGGAAGTGAGCATTGCTCAGTAGACGCCAGGGCCATCCCGGGGACGAGCGACGAAACCTTTACCGGGTGGTCCCCAATCGTCAGTCTGGACAACTAAATCAATTTGAGGACTTCTTCGCATTGGCCACACCAACTACCCTGCGTGGGAATTCCCTCAAACTGTGAAGAACCATATTCCCTGTTCGCAGCGAGTCGTCGGTGCCTGGAACGGACTCTGCCTGGAAACATCATAATGGCAGACCCCACAGACGCATTTTAACAGAATCTTGATGTATACTTATTTAGCAAATACCGTTCATCTGCACAGAAAAGCACTATCACAACGTGTCAACACTTTGTCTACGATCATCGCGATGACTATGCATAAAATTCACTGCTACACTGTGGCCCCCTCCCCT